GGTACTTGAGAAAGGCTTATGTCCCCAGCTACTACTATACAGAGCTGAATAGAAAATTGAAAATGTTTTCTCAAGGATCTATGACAGTGGAGGAGTATGTGTACGAGTTGAATATCTTGAAGTTTCGTGCAAACATTCAAGAAAATGAACGTGAAGCAATGTCAAGAATTATGGATGGCTTGAGGCCAGAGTTGAGAGATAAACTTGACTTGTACACTTTTGTGGACAAGGAAGAGCTCATACACAAGGCTATAAAGTTGGAGCAGAGAAATAAGAACAAACGTTCTAAGTCCTCTTGGAAAGACTCCAAGACAACTTCCAAATGGAAGGATTCCAAAGCTAAAGATACATCCCAAGCTAAGGAAGAAATAAAGACCAAGTATGAGGGTAAAACTTCTAACCCTAAACCTTCTTCTTATTCATCTAACACTTCTCCTATTAAGTGTTTCAAATGTCATGGTGTAGGCCACATGGCGAGAGATTGTAGCAATAAAAGGGTTATGATCTTGAGAGATGATGGTGGCTATGATAGTGTGCATGAAAGTGATAAAGATGATGCTGATAATGTTGATGATGATTCTACCTCCCATGAATCAAATGATGAGCTTAAATGCAATGGTGTAGTTGACTCTATCTTGGTGGCAAGAAGAGCTCTCAATATTCAACCAAAGGAGGATGATGAACATGAGCAATGCGAGCATATTTTTCACACTAGATGCTTCATCAAAGAGAAAGTGTGTAGCATGGTAATTGATGGTGGTAGTTGCACTAACGTCGCTAGCACTTTACTTGTAGATAAATTATCTTTACCTTTAATTCCACACCCTAAGCCCTACAAATTGCAATGGTTGAATGATTCTACTGAAATTAGGGTTTCTAAGCAAGTGTTGATTACTTTCTCTGTTGGAGTTTATACTTGTGATGTATTATGTGACGTAGCCCCTATGCTTGCTAGACACTTGTTATTAGGTAGGCCTTGACAGTTTGATAGTAAGGCTACTCATGATGGTTTTAGAAATTGTTACAAGGTGCCTTTTAAAGGCAAGACTGTTGTATTAAATCCTCTCAGGCCCATCCAAACCTATGAAGATCAACTAAAGATTACTCAAGATTACAAGCAAAGGAGAGATCTCCTTATTGTGGCATGAGTGAGAGAGAAAAGAAAGAGAGTATTACTTTACTTGAAAATCAATCAAAAGAGAGGAAAAAGAGTGGTGAGAAGGTGAGAAAAGAAAAAAATAGAATGGTGGGAGTGAAGGAAAATAGTGAAAAAAAATATTATTGTGTGGGAAAAGTAAGATTCAAGAGGCTTTGATGAGTAAGCAAGCCCTTATTGTAATTCTCAAGAATATTTATTTTTCTACTAACACTTTTGACCCCACTTTGCCTTCTAGTGTTGTCTCTTTGTTGCAGGATTATAGAGATCTATTCCCTAATGAAATTCTTGATGGACTTCCTCCCTTAAGAGGAATTGAGTATAGGATAGATTTCTTGCCTGGAGCTGCTATTCCAAACAAGCCTGCTTATAGGGCTAACCCTGAAGAGGCTAAGGAGATCCAGCGCCAAATAGAGGAATTGATGATGAAAGGCTTTGTGCGTGAGAGCCTTAGCCCTTGTGCTGTCCCTGTTATCTTGGTGCTAAAAAAAGACAGATCTTGGAGGATGTGTGTTGATTGTAGAGCAATCAAAAAAATCACTGTAAAGTATCGTTACCCTATCCCTAGACTTGATGATATGCTTGATGAATTGCATGGTGCTTCTATCTTTTTAAAATTGATCTTAGAAGTGGTTATCATCAAATTCGTATGAAAGAGGGTGATAAATGGAAAACTGCCTTTAAAACTAAATTTGGATTATACGAATGGTTAGTTATGCCTTTTGGTTTGACTAATGCTCCTAGCACTTTTATGGCATTAATGAATCATGTTTTTAGAAAGTTTATAGGCAAGTTTGTTGTGGTTTACTTTGATGATATTTTGATTTATAGCAAATCTTTGACTGATCATATGAATCATCTTAAAAATGTGTTTGACATCTTGAGGGGATATAAGTTATATGCTAATTTTCAAAAGTATTTCTTTTGCATGGACTCTGTTATCTTTTTGGAATTTGTTGTTGGATCACAGGAAATTCATGTAGATGAGGAGAAAGTTAAGGCTATTCGTGAATGGCCAACCCCTAAGAATGCAAGTGAAGTGAGAAGCTTCCATGGCTTAGCAAGCTTCTATAGGAGATTTGTTAGGGATTTCTCTAGCATTGCTGCCCCTCTTAATGAACTTGTTAAGAAGAATGCGACCTTTAAATGGGGTAAAACACAAGAAAGGGCCTTCCAAACCCTAAAGGATAAATTGACTAATGCCCCTTTACTTGTTTTACATAATTTTTCTAAAGCATTTGAAATTCAATGTGATGCTTCTGGTATTGATATAGGTGCTGTTTTAATGCAGGATTCTAAGCCCATAGCTTACTTCAATGAAAAGCTTCACGGCGCAGCTTTGAATTATTCCACCTATGACAAAGAGCTTTATGCTCTAAAGAGGGCCTTAAAAACATGGCAACATTATTTGTGGCCCAAGGAATTCATCATTCATTCTGATCATGAAAGTTTAAAGTTTCTCAAGTCTCAAGGTAAGTTAAACAAGAGACATGCTCGCTGGATGGAATTTATTGAAACCTTTCCTTATATGATTAAGCATAAGCAAGGTAAAGAAAATATCGTTGTTGATGCCTTATCTCGAAGGTATACATTACTTTCCTATTTGCATGCTCAATTACTTAGTTTTGAGATTCTAAAAGATCTTTATAAAACTGATCCTGATTTTGAAAATATTTGGAAATCTTGTGAAAATCATGGATCTGGTGATTTCTTTAAATTTGATGGATTTCTTTTTAAGAAAAATAAATTATGCATTCCTATTTGTTCTATGCGTGAGTTGCTTACTAAGGAAGCACATAGTGGTGGTTTGATGGGACACTTTGGTGTAGATAAAACTTTGGCTATTTTGTCTGATCATTTCTTTTGGCCTCACATGCGGAAAGATGTCATATCTGTTTGTGATAAATGCATTAAATGTAGACAAGCAAAATCTAAGATCCAACCTCATGGACTTTACTCTCCTTTACCCGTCCCCTCTCACCCTTAGGAACATATCTCTATGGATTTTGTAATTGGATTGCCTAAATCTTCTGCAAGCAAAGATTCCATATTTGTTGTTGTTGATAAGTTCTCTAAGATGGCACACTTTATTACTTGTGTTAAGACTAATGATGCTGTTAACATTGCTGACTTATTCTTTAAAGAGATTGTTCGTTTGCATGGTTTACCTAAGACTATTGTGAGTGACAGAGATGTGAAGTTTCTTAGTCATTTCTGGCGTACCCTATGGCATAAATTAAGGACTAAGTTACTTTTTTCTACTACTGCTCATCCACAAACTGATGGTCAAACTGAGATAGTTAACAGAACTATGACTACACTATTAAGAGCAATAATTCAGAAGAATTTGAAGAATTGGGTGAATTGTTTACCTCATATTGAATTTGCTTACAACAGGACTGTTTATTCTTCTACTTCTTATTCTCCATTTGAAATTGTTTATGGTTTCAATCCATTATCTCCTATTGATATTTTACCTTTGCCTTTCTTTGAGCATGCTAACACTGATGGCAAGAAAAAAGCTAAGTTTATGCAGGACTTACATGCTAAGGTTAAAGCAAACATAGAGTGAAAGAATGAGCAATATGCCAAGCAAGCTAATAAAGGCAGGAGACATGTGATCTTTGAGCATGGAGATTGGGTTTGGTTACATTTAAGGAAAGAGAGATTTCCTAATCAAAGGAAGTCCAAACTTCAAGCTCAAGGAGATGGACCTTTTCAAGTTTTGGAAAGAATTAATGATAATGCTTACAAGATTAATTTGCCTAGCTCTTATGGCAATGTTAATGCCACATTTAATGTTTCTAATTTATCTTTATATGATTCTGCAGATTCGAGGACGAATCCTTTCCAACTGGGAGGGAATGATAGACCCCATGGCACGGGTGACATAGCATTAATGGCAACGAAGCCTGAGGATGGTAATCATGAGCATGGTGACATAGAAGGAGCCCAATACTTCCAATCCAACGTACCTAAAGACCCATTACAACATATTGGAGGTCCAATGACAAGAGCCCGAACCAAAGCCATGAAGCAAGCCTTGTTCAGTCTTGTGCAAGAAGTTCAAGAGCTTGGAGAGCATTGGGGCACTCCTCTCAAGCCCAAAGGAGAGCATCTATATGTGTATAATGTATTTAAGATCCAAACTCATGAAGAGTCAAGCCCAAGAGATGCAGACCTTAGCCCAATGTAAGGAAGACTACAAGTTGAGCCTCTTGCAAGCAAGGAGGCATGAAACCCTAGTAAAGAAGTCAAGGGTGGCGTGATTTTAAATCCTTTATGATCCCTTGATTGTCTCCTAAATTATTTCCTATTTTAATGATCCTTTGATTTGATTTTCTATTTTGAGTCTAGTCAAAGGTTAGAATTAATTATAATATTAATTTCTAAATTTTGTAATCTCATAATTTTAGGATCACATCTCCTAAATTATGTAGCTGAATATTTTATCATTATTTTATATTATTTCTCCTTTTAGTATTAGGAAATTAGGGTTTTAATTTTAGGAAATATTTTTCTATGAGCCTATATAAATTAGGCATGCTCCCTATTGTAAAGAAGACAGAAGTTGAATGAAATTATTCATTTTAGAGTTTATAACTCTTGTGAGCCTTAGTGCTTTGTGGTGGTATCCCGTGTGAGAAACAGACGTGATCAAGAGCGTGATCAACTCTTATGGTGTCTTCGAAGGTTGAGGTTCCTAGAGGCAGGTGCTCTAGAGGATCTTCTCCTTGATCATTATCCTATTGTTTACTTCATATCTTTCTTTATTTCTGTCATAAATTTAGTCTCTTATTCTTGTATTTTTGTTTTTTTTAGGGTTCTGTCCCTGAACTAGCACGATTCTGCTTCCGCGTCCCTATCAACAGAGCAGGCGATCTTGCAGGCCACCAGCGCTCTCTTGTCGTGAGACCTCACCTGCAAGGCTGCCGGACAAATCAGATTGAGGTCGCTCATCACGCACCTGACGTCGCCGCATGTCCCAGATCCCCCGTACGGGGTGATGGAGACAGGCAGGTTGTAGCCGTCGACAAGGCTGATGGCGTAAGAGTCGTGATGCTTGCCTAGAAAGAACTCCACGAAGGTGGCCGGAGGGGTGCCACCGGTGCCATTGCAAAAGAGGGAGCCGCCGCAGTCCCCGGTTTTGCAGGGACCGCGGCCGGAGGCTTTGAAGGCGCAGCCGTGACGGCCCCAGAAGCGGCCGGACCAGAGAGGGGGAAGCTTTAGAGCGTGGGACATGTTGGGCGGGAGCTTGAAGCCTCCGCGAGCCAAAAGGAGTTTTCCGGCACTGGGTTGTATTCCCGGCCAAACGGAGTGCGAGCATTTGTTATGAAGTGTAACTGATTTCTCTGAAACCACTCAAAAAACAAGAAGACAGAGATTGAGGGGAGAGTGAAGGTGAAAGAAACATAGAAACACAGAGAGAGAGAGAGAGAGAGGGAGAGTTCCAGCATTGGACGAGATAAAGAGGCAGCCGGATCCCAAGATGATAATGGCAAAGCATGGAATTAGACATAAAAGGGAAGAGTCTTCGCCGGCGTCTCTGGGCTGTGCCGCCATGTTTGGGCTGAACCCTTCCTTCTTTTCTTTATCCTCCATAATCTTTCTTTAGGAATCAAAATTAAAAAAAAAATCAAAAGATGAAAAGCATCATAAGGATAATATAAAAATATGATTAAGAGGGACGTGCTTCTCCTCTGGTTAATTCATCGCCCACGCAAACCATGGAGCACGAAAGAGAGGGAGATCACCGAAGGAGAGATTCAAGGAGGATCTGAGTTTGAAGCATGGGTCAGAACTGAGAGAGAGGCAGAGAAGGATTGAGCACTCGAAGGTGGAAGAGAAGAGCCCGAAACGAAAGAAGAAAAAGGAAAGAAGGTATATTGACAATGAATATAAATGCTCAATGCACGCACAAACCTGGGAACAAAGATTTCGGTCTCAATCTTCTCTCCACACTAGACCATAAGACGAAGCCGCACGGAGGAGGTGGCTGAGACGGCTAAGAATGAGAAACTTGGAAGAGGCGGAGAACGAAAACTGATAGAGGCTCCAAAACGCTAAGGCTAACTTAAAATGCTATGGTAGAATGACATTTAAGATCTATCAAAGAAATTTATGGCAATAAGGATTTAGTCCCAGCTGTAACGTAGCTCATTGTGTCTTTTCGAGCTTTGTTATCCTTTTATTTTGTCTCGATGTAACCCTTCTATCTGTACAATTATTTTGAGTTGAATAATATTCACGTTTCTACAAAAAAAAAAAGAAGGAAATTTATGGCAATAAGTATACATATATAAGTTTTAATTTGTATGTGATATTTTCTTTTTAAAAAAAAATATGTGGTTATTAAAAACTGAATTTTTAAGAAAACTTTTACAAAAATATAAGTTAAGGTTCAGCTTTTAAGATCATATGCATGTTTTTATAAGACAAAATCTAATGCAAAACTTATAAACTTTTATTGTAATAAATTTTGTTAAAAGGGCCTTAAATGTCATTCTCCCAAAAAACTATGATGGAAAAAAAATGAAAAACTAAAAAGTTTTGATGGGAGTATGATATTCCATATTTGGGTGGATATTAAAGATATTTTGATTAAAAAAGTTATCCTAACATCTCTATTTTATTTTATTTTTAATTTTAATTTAACTATTCTAGTGGCCCAACAAATTTCTCGATTGAAAATGTACTATTTTTTTCCTTTTATTTAAATATGTTTAATTTTTAAACTCAAAATGATATCGTTTTAAGCCTAGTAAAGGAAGAGAAAATGTATAAAATCCAACTCTCTCAATTCGTCCAAAACCATGGTTAGAAAATAGGGGAAAATACAATGAAATTCCTCTAAATTATATAAATAATAATTTGATCCTTCAAAATGTTATAATTTCACTGAAATCTCTAAAACTTCTCTGTCATTAATAAATTTATATAAATTATTAAATTATTTTTGTTAAAAATAAAATAATTGACAAATTTTGTTTATATAATTATAATTTTTTTTATATTTATAATAATGCAACAGTAAATAAAAAATTTAAAATGTAAAGTTATGATTTATGGTTGCATTGTTATAAATATAAAAAAATTATAATTATTTAGATAAAATTTATAAACTTTTTTATTTTTAACAAAGATAATTTGATAAAATTATGACATTTAAAAAAATTAAATTATTATTTATATATTTTAGAGAGTTTGTATTGTCATTTTTTTTAAACAAGAAGTAACATTTTTTGTGGTTTTTGTATTCAGAAATGACATGTGTGAGAGAAAGCAGAATGTCGAGGCAAGTACGAACCTACGAGTTTGTTAAGAACAAATGTTTTGAAAGAGGATAGGATGTTACAACGAAAGAGCTAATGGTTCTCAATTTTTGCACTTCGACCTCCCTATAATATAATAATTAAATAAAAAATAATATTAAATATATATATATATATATGAAATAAATATAAGATAAAAAATTATATTATGTTAATAAAATGATATAACATGATTATAAATTAAGAATATTATAAATATAAATTATAATTTTATAACTTATCAAATATAGATAAATCTTAGTTAAATTAGAAATGAGAAGACTCAAAAGTATTAATATTTACACTTATAATTATCAACACTTTTATTAAAAAAAGTCTCAAATCATATTTTATGCATATAGTTGTCTAAAAATAAAGTTAGCTTTTAGTGGGATATAATTTTTAATTTTTTAAAAAAATTAAGCTTTTTCTAATTTTATGTATAAAATTGTTTGATTTTTTGAAAACCTCTTCAATTTTTGGTTCAACTCCTATTTTTAACTTAATAGTGGCTCAACTCTAATTCGGCTCAATTATAAAAATAATTTTTTAGTCTAAATCAAGCTATTAATGGATCCAAATTTAATTGGTCTAACCATCTGATTTGGTCAAATTTTTAAATCATTAGTATAGAGAAAGCAACAGCCTCCACAAATATTTTTCAAATTCTTTAATAAATATATATAATGTGTGTATTATGTACCCCCATCTCATAGGTATTAATTGCCCCTAGTAATAAATAATACTCCATTTATTTAAAAATATAAGATATTTTTAATTAGATTTCACCCCCAATAAAATAGTTATTTACTTTTAAATTAACTCTATCTTTTTATATTTATCCCCATTAAACACTCTACAATTAATATAAAGTTATTATTAATAAGGGTCACTTTTGAAAAAGAAAAGGTAATAATTATACCTCGAAAAACTAAAAATATTTTATACTTTTTAACATTTAATTCCTTAAAAAATACTTTATATTTTTAAACGGAGGAAGTATTACTTTTTATGCCATTCAGTTTTTTTTTATTTTTTATACTTAATTTTCTTGGCTCATGTAGCATTTTATACTCATTATTTTATTTTTTATTATTTATTTTTCTCATTAAAATTGAATTTTTTTCCTTTAGTTTTTTCATTTCTTCCAACTTCACTTTAGTTAAAAAAATAAATCCTAAATAGCATCTTCGTACAATTTTCACGCATTGTATATTCATTGATGTATTTGCTTTTAAAATTAGCTTTGATATTACAAGTGATAACTGCAACAGTTAAAAAGGCTTTTTGTTTTATGGATATCATCAAAAATTATAAGCAAAGTTGCATGAGAGATAAATCGTTAAATAATTGTTTGTTTACTTATATAGAGAAATAATTTTTTGATGGTATCTAAATACAAAAATTATTCGACACTACCAAAATATAAAACCTCACAGGAAAAGATTATTAAAAAAACTCAAAGAAAAAACTTATTATATGTATTTAATTTTTTAATTTATGCTAAAAATAACATGTTTTTTGAATAAAACCTAACAGATTAATTGATTTGAATGGTTCAAATATACAATAATTTAAATATAAAATATTTAAATTAAGAAGAAAAACAAATTGAAATGAGCTTTAAAATATATACAACTTTTGTTCTCTGCAACAAATTGGCACATTTCATTTTGACATTAGCACCATAAAATTAACATAGTATTTTAACATGAAAACTACTTACATATAAAAATATATAGCCAAATAAATGAACATAACAAGGCATTTCCAATTCCATGTATATTCATCTATGAATGAATCTATCAACTTCCCTTTAATATCGTACGCCCATAACGACTCTTCATTACATAAAATGCTCCATATCCTTGGCAACAACATTTTAAATACCCCTTATTCATTCTATTTAATCCAAAGCATAAGAAAAGTTAACACCATAAATTAGAAATCCAATTTAACATGGTGAACTTGAAAAGAATATAATTAAGATATATAAACTAGAACTTCAACATAATAATCAGTGCAAATATATATATATATATATATATATTTGAACAAAAAACCAAGGGCCAAAAAAATGAACAAAAAACTATAGTAGAGGAAGCAAGTAATAAAGAAGGCAACAAATAAAACAAGAAAGGGGAAAAAACAGAGGAAAGACCAGGAATTATTTATAAAAAAATGCCCATAAAAAACTATGCAACAAGTAAACAAAATTCTAAAAATGAGATAAAGAACCAAACATCCAATGTTATAAACTTGATTTGCTAACCTTATACGCAAAATTCAAATATTAAAAAGTTATAACAATTTAGGGTAATTATAACTTGAAAAGAGCTTAACAGAAAAAAAAAATATTTGACTTTAAGAGAACAAAAAGAAAAAGAAAATGGTGGAGAGAAAAACAATTGTGACTTAAAATTCATAACTTGCAAATTCACAAAAACATAAGATCAAAGGAGTTGGAAGAGAGGACTTAAAAAAAAAAGATTAAAATAAGGAAGTGAGGACACAACTGTGAGTCATATTTGAAAAAGAATGCTCATCATCAACTTCACATCTCAGTATAAAATATGTCAATCAAATAAGATGTGGAACAAATCACATAATTATAAAGTAGCTCCATTCACAAATAAAAGTAATAAGCTAAAGAACAAGCATCAAAGCTGTTGAAGAGAGATCAAAGAAATTGACAGTTGGACATGGAGTACCTATATATCTACACGCAAGCACATTACTTAGAGAACTCTAACATCGACCCAAGTGGCCAATCTCACTACCCACTTTAAGCAAGTTTTACTAGCAAGACCATATAGCAATGCTTAATGTCGTTTTTATCATACTCATTCTAATCTAGTATTAGAGTCGATTGTGCCTATATTGAATCATGTATTTAGCCGAGTTAAAATAACAGTCCTCCTTAAGATGCATAGGGTTTCTTTCGCATCATCAAGTTGCAAATAATTTCATTCATGATTCTAAGAATAATAAGACTTGATAGTGTAAATAAAAAAGACCATCGTAAATAAAAGTTTCCAAATTGAAAACAAGAACAATTAATACCAAAATGTCAACATGACAAATACAAAGACAAGGAGAAGAAAATAACAACGAAAACATTGAATGAGAAAAATATATCATTAACGCATATATAACACTAGCAATGCAAATCGGCCAGCCTGAAAATGACTTGTATATGATTTCTCATATCTTCCAAGCCCAAAATCAAAAGTGTATCATTCTCTAATGGGATTGAGTTCAAAATGCCTTGCATGATCTCGTGGAACTCATAAGTTTTTATATTTTGATAGTGTTGAATAATTTTTTTTCATTTTCAATACTATCAAAAGTTTATTTCTCTAAGTAACCACAAATCATTCAACAATTTATCTTTCACATGAATTTGTTTATAATTATTGATTACATTCATATCTAGCAGAGAAAACCCTTTTAACTGTTGCAAAACCTCTTCCAAAACCCAATACAGAATCAAAGTAATCTTAAATACCAAAAGTACTAAAAGTGATTATAAACTATATTCTACAGTCCATGGGGAACATTGTAAAAAAGGGAAGGGCATGAGAGATTTAATGAGTTTGATTTTAGTAAACAAAAAAAATAAATAAGTTAAATTTTTTTATTAATGATCTTACAATTTATTTTTAGTAAAAAACTTTAACCTCATGTTGCATTTTTTATTTTAAATCAAATTAATTTAAATTTTTTCTCCTCTCCCCTCCTTTTCCTTCCAACCAAAACAGGAAGTAAAAATTAATTTTAGAACAAATAGTAGTATTTAGAAATATTTAAATAATAAAATTGCAATTTCAGTCCATTAGTCTGGTCTTTTGGTCCTTCGTGTAATCAAATGAATTTAAGAAATTGACTCAATTACCCATTTCCTAATGAAATTACTTTCCAACCGGTTAACATGTGTGGTATCGAGGTTGAAGCCTCTAGATTAAAAAAAAAAAAAATAGGAAGAATGATAAATAAAAACCTTATAAAAATATCAATACCAAATTAAGAACTTCAGCATTGAAATATAGTAAAAAGAGTACTAAAATTTAAGAATATTAATGTTAAAAAAATTCTAATTTGATATGAATATTCTTATAAAATTTTTATTTGTCATTTTCCCAAAAAATATACATTCTCACTTTGCAGTCAGCCAGTCACGAATCAATGCAATTCTACATTTTTTATGATTTTATAAAAAAAACCAAAATTACACGATTATACAAGTTTATAATTAAAAGAAAAGAAATAAAAAATTGAGGATGTGAACATTACAAGAGAATTAGAAGAATAAAAAGAAATCAATTTATCTAATTGATAAAAATTTAGCCATTGATATGAAAATCTCGTCGCTCAGCAATACTAATACCTCTACGACCAGTTTTACAACATGTTCTAAACTTTTCCTTATTTAAAAAAAAATGAAACAAGAATTCCAATCCTATGAGAGGAAGAAGCGACACAAGGGATATAAAGCTGACATGGACGCCTGAGGAGAAGACACTTGTCAGTGAAATGGGCGACGGAATAGTGTAGGAGTTTCTAGAGTGACCCATGTGAGAGCAGAACTAGACATGATGAGTATTGCTCCGTTGCATTTTCAGATCGTCCGTCAGGCGAAAGACAATGGGGAAGCAGCCGGTGAGGATGAAGGCAGTCGTCTACGCCCTGTCGCCGTTTCAGCAGAAGGTGATGAGTGGACTGTGGAAGGACTTGCCCGGAAAGATTAACCAGAAAGTCTCCGAAAATTGGCTCAACGCCTTGCTCTTCCTCTCTCCCCTTGTCGGCACCTACGCGTAATTCTTAATTTCTTTTATTCTTTTTTCTTTCATCCAAGACAAGAAGATTAAAAATCTCCAAGCATGAATCGTATACCAAGTGTTTCAACCACTGCAAGACTTCGAATCATATATGTGTGCTTTTTGGTCATCAATTATAAGAGTTGGTTTGAAGGATTTCTATTTCTACTCTGTAGTTTGTATGTGGCTGGTCGAAACTCAGACTTTACTGGTTAACTTAGTATATATCATGCATACTGCCTATGAAGAATTTACAACTTCATTTGGTGTGTTTTGTGGGGTTGAGGATCAATGTAGCAAATTAACTGTTTGATTAATTGCAATTTAGAACCCAGATTTGGGATTTGCTTTGAGTGGAATCATGGGTCTCTGTATATGGAAAATTATTTATTGTTGTAGTTTATACAAACTTACGGTGAACTAGAGTCTAGGAATGTCTCGTAGATTGTCTCTGCGCATTCTTCATGTTGAAGAGAACTTTAAAAGCTATTGTGATTGGAGGTCTAAACCCAGGACTTAGTGTGTTCTAATTAATTAGATCCATATACATATAATCACTATCAACATGGTAAAAGTGAATGAGCAATTAATAGACTGGGTCCAAAAGAAGCGGTCTAGACTGAGAACGTTCGAATTGTTTCGTGAAATTTCGCGTTGGAGGAATTAAAATGCTAATGTAAGGTACTTGTTTCAAATGGATGCAGGTATGTGAAACAATACAAGGAGAAGGAGAAGCTAGCCCACCGTTATTGAAGAAGTTGTCGTAACTTAATTAGGTGATACATGTAATAGAGAGTTATCAGTATGCTCAAGTGTTGTATGTTAGTAGAATGTGTATGTCAACTCAGTCTATGATGTAATTACAAAATCCAAAGTTTGCTTTTATGTTAGTGTTGCCAAGTTTCTGTTTGGGTAACTGAGCTTTCCTTTGTCCTTCCTGAAGAAGGAAAAGGGAAAAAAAGGCTGATTTGAAATCTTGTCACTTGTGTTCAGCAATTTTTAAATTTACGTGATTTTTGTCGAAGTTATATATTTTTATCTCTCTCGGGTCTGTTTGTTTAACACTATTTTTTATATAAAAATCACTTATGTTTTATATAAAAAATCTATTTTGTAATATTTTATGATGCTTATTTAAATTTTTAAAATAACTAAAAAATATATTTTTAATTATTTTGATAAGTAGCTTACGAAAATAATACCATAAAATATATGAGAGAAAATGTCTTAAAAATACGAGATAAGTAAATAATTATAAAATTTTAAAATAACTAAATAATAAAAAAATTTATAAATAAAAAAATATCATAATCACTAAATAATAATTATTTTTTTACTAAGGTAATCAATTCTAAATTATTTAAAAATTACTTATGTTTTTTCTAACGCTTCACCTACTTTTCATCATCCAGCCAGCGTTCCAGAATGCGTAATTTTTAACTTCACAAGAGAGTGGTTTCATTACGTTATTTGATTTTTCAGAATGTTTAGGCCACAAGCCGGCGACAATTTGATGGAGGATGATCACGTTCAAAGTCAGGGGTTAACGGAGGGCCCCTGATATTGTGAACACAAGGCGAATTGATAGTAAACATTCGCACGCCGTGAGAGGTAAAATTCAAAGTGATTAGCTCGAATTTTTCAACACTTGAGCCGGCTGACAGAAATGTATACATTGAATGATTTGAATTTTAAGGCGTGTGGAAGTGTAAAGTTATATCGAGTAAAATATTGTTTTAAATTTTAATGCAAAGGTCTTTATGTAAATTCAATCAATCAATACCTATCTATAGGTTATAATTAACCGAAAATTAAAAAGAAAAAAAGAAAAGAAAATTACTAGCGACCATTATAACCGGTGGCTGTGATGATGCTATCTACTAGACGTTTACTCTATGAAACACGGATGTTTCAAACTGTCCCGTAGATCTGCATTGGTATCGATGACATTGACGCATCATAAAATATTAGAAAATTGTTTTTTAATTATTTGGTAACATGTATTCGATATTTTTAAATTACAAGTTAATATTTTAAAATCAATCATTTAAAAAAGTAAATTTTATTAAATATTTTCATATTAATCTTTTTTATTTTCAATATATTTTTATTATTTGCTTTTAAAGTCAAAGATTAAATTTTCTTAACAATAAAAAGTAGGAATATAATCTTTTGGTGTATAGATCCTAAATTAGAGATAAAAGACTATAATAATAATTAATAATTATGTTTTATTTATTATTACTATAAAAGACTATATCAATATACTAGTTCAGACATTTTCTGAATTAAAATTATATTTTAATATACGTTTTATACATATGTGTATGCGCGGACATGTCAACTACGTATCCTATTGTGCATTGAATACTGGCAACCTGCGTCTAGTTTATTTAAAATTGCTTGAAGAGGAATACTTGTCATGTAACAGGTTCTCATTTAAAATCCACAACTCGATTTACACATATATAAATTTAAACGAAAATGGGAATATGAGGGTTTTGCGATCTAACAAAGCAAATTGGATAGTAGTAACATCCTTAGAAGTCAAGTGATATATGGTGACAAGTTCACTCAGATATTATAAATTAAGCAGACATGACACAACAGGCACACAGACGGCAGGATGATGATGTATTTTCCATTGCATTTTTCATTTTTCTCCCCTTTTAAGTACTTACCCTTTTGTAAGTTAAGAAAGATACACTTGGACACTATCAGATTTCATCATTTGGCATACAGGGCAAACATTGACATAAGCATCACATTCCATACACAAGCACAGGTGCCTACAAGGCATTAACAACATTGAAACCTCCTTCGCCTTGCATGCCCGGCAAATCATGGCATCATCCATGCCTCGCTGCTGCTTGCCAGTAGATCTCATGGGAACACCATGGATGCTCAGCAAGTTATTGGGGTCAATGGCCGACGCAGCATCATCAACCTCGCTGTCCCCAAACCCTTCTTTCCCTTGTTCAGCTCCCTGTGAGATGGCCTGCTGGAGATTGTTCCTTAGAACATTCACGACCGACTCATTGTACTTTGCTCTGTAATGCCAGTTTTGTGCTTCCATGGCTACCAGCTTTATTTTCTCTGCTAATTCTCGGTTTCTACGGTTCATGTTCTCTATCTCCACATCTTTTTCCCTTAGCTTCTTGCTTACACCTTTGTCAATGGCAGTAAGAAGAGATGCCATGTGCTTTTGTTTCATGTCTCTCAATCCTTTTGACAATTGTTCCTTCTGTGCAGAAATCAATCACACTAAGGAGTCAGAGAAGTGCAATATATATATACATATATGTATGTATACATCATACATGACATGATTGATAATATTCTGTAACCAAGGCACCACTTGTGTCTATAATATGTCTGAGCAATGAAGCAATCATTCGTTCCAGTGTTGAGTCCAGAATTTGTGTCTAAATTATGCTATAGCAATTGGAATGATGATATGAATTTTTTGTTTGTTGCAATTACGATTTTCTTCAAATAATTATATGTAACTCCCTTACCATGCATGGGGACATTAAAATTTAAAATAACATCAAGCTGCAGTGATCAAAGGTCAAATTATGGGGCTTGATTGATCTAATGAAATTAGAGACTTAACTGCTCCGACAAATAGTATAGTAGAAGGAAAACATGGTAAGCTTGTACCGCAATATGAAAGCATCAGAGTAACACAATTGATTTTGCACCTAGATGACGTCAACCAACAACTTCAAATGACAATACTGAGAGCTGAGCATAATAAATTACCTGAAGTTTAATATACTGGTCCAGTTCTTGCTTCTGCCTGTCAAGCTCAGTTTTAATATTGTCACCAAGGGATAAAATGATTGAAGGTGCACCAGTCATGCTTCCACTTGCAGAAGTGACAGATGAGTTGCGTTCATCATCATCATAAGACAACCTCAATCCTGTTGAGACGGGATTTGGATTTGCGTTTGGGTTTGGAATACTTGCTGATCGAGCAGGTTCATCTTGACAGAAGTTGTAATTTAAGGAAATCTGAAGCCTTTGCTGTTTGCACATGTCATCCATTTCCCTATTTTGTCTGCTTGGCCGAACCATGGAACTAATATGCTCATTTCCAAAGTAATTAACTGGATCAACACTACACCCAGCAGGTACTGCAAAAGACATTTCCCATTCATCATTCAGTCACAAGGCTAAGCATCACCAGCACAAACAATAAGTCTTATCCTATTAAGTGATGTCAGTCACGAGACAAAAGACCGAGTACAAAAAATTAATCAAGGAAACAATACCTTTATTTACCATTTTTATATAAGAAATGCAATTATCAATAATAACGTGCATCAACTATGCAGTGGGTTAACAGCCATGTTATAAGCATAGCTCCAACCAAAAACATCAGTCTAACCAACATAGCAGAGACATGTAACAAGTGAATCAAACATATTCCAAACAAAATATATTCAGTGAACAATTTCATTATCACCAAAAACGAAGACATGAGAAAACTTACAGTTTCCAAACAACTGCAGTTGATTTGCTGCATTAGCTTGGTATTGCATGTGGGCATTGTCCAGGAAACCAGGAAGAACAGGATTTCCATTGTTGGCCCCCAACATTTTTCCCGGTTGAATGCCTCCTTAGCTCAAGTAACACACCTTTTAAGAAATGAAAAGAAGCTTCCACCAAATGTCTACAGGGAGTAAAAGAAGGGGAGTAAATAACACAAAAATTTAAAATATGAAAGGTCAACTGCACGAAATATTCCAGCACTGCCAACCCCATGCAGAATGAGCACTACAAGCACAGTACAAAAAAGGAATCAGCGCAAGAAAGGGCGATGATTGTCTTATACAGGACCCTTCAATGGGCAAATCAGTTTAAGCAGTTTGGTAATGATTATAATGTCTTATAGTCACCCCAGGGAGATGCAAGTTTTCCATTGTCCTCTATTTGTTTAGAGGAAAAAAACTTTACATCTACAAAGTATGAACTCCAACCAAAATCAAGGAACACATACGATTCCCCAACAGGGAAAGTTGAGTTGGTTTCAGTCACAATCAGAGACTAATTTTGAAAGCTGTACGGTAGTGGGTAGAGATATGCTGAACTATATATTCAAAGAAGACCACACACAATACATCTCATCTTCAAATTATTTTCTTTTGAATCATTCATATATAAAAGAACCGAAAAAAGAAATGCTTTAAATAAAGCACAGTAATTACTATATTCATTCTTAACATTTTTTCATATAAGGCACAAAAGGAATAACAATTAAGTAGGATCTAATTACTGAAAGCTTACTGCCTTTAGCAAAAATAGGTAAGTATAATCCTTAAGTGTATCAAAGTCAAATGTTGGCTGTCATCATTCTCATACAATTAACTGTACAATGTAATGAACGCCGAATTTCACTCAGCAACATGTTTTAGAGCAAAACACAAAAACTAGAATTAATGACTAGACCATTTAACCAAAAACGTAACTGGTTGAGCCTTGGACTTTATCCCAGATAAATGAATTAACATCCCCAACCTTATAACCTATTATCAGTATTCCACTTAAGCAAGTGGCTGAAGGAGGGAACTAATTTCCATGAGAAAGTATTTGGGCAAGTGCTCAGGTATAAACATGCTTTAAGCATGAAATGTTTCACATGATCAGCTGCAACATGCTTGGTTCCAGTTTCACAGTATTGTTTCCGAACGTATTTTCTCATTTATTTTCATCAAAGCACATCATCTCCAATGAAAAAAAATTAGAACAAAAACTAACATCACCGAAACTTGGCATATAGAGTGTTATTTCTTACTCTACTTATTCTTTCCTATCCTTTTGATAAGTAGCGCAAATAGAAATTGACATGCAACCAATTGGTTACATTTCAATTTAACATGAGATAAGGTGAAGGAAATGAATTAGAAGCAATATAAATTACAAACAAAACCAATAGAAGCCCATTAAAACCTCCAAGCAAAAATGTATAGAGGCTTGTGTTAACCAAAAACCCATCTTTTACCCTTCAAGAGATGATGGTTGATGAGTAACTAAAAGTGGCTGTCTAACAGTCTAAAGTTATGAATGGATGGAAATAAGATGGGAAGGCGAAGAATCTCGGAGTAGGGAAATGGCATAAAATATCAGGGCTTTGTAAGTCCAAATATATTGTCATTTTCAAACTACCCAGCCATCTATACAGGAAACGGTTACGATCAGCAAAATAAAAAACGAAAAACCTGAGAAAAATCTTTTGTTCAGATCGCAATTGGTAGTATCAATATCAGAACGGTAAGAACAGCGATTTCAAAAAGAAACCCATCAAGATTTCTTAAATAATAACATAGCTGAGGATTAAATAAGAAAAAGATTATCAATAAATAAAGAAAACCCAGCCTTTGAATATGGAAAATATCTTGTGAAGATCAAAACAAATTCAACACAAGAAGCAGAACAATCAAGTGCAATCCATCGCAACCTTAATATTCCGCCCTTTGGATTATCGCGAAAGCCCCACAATGCTATCGACTTCAAACCTGCTAAATCATAAATTTCGATCAAAACACAAAGCTTTATCATAAAAACCAAAAAAAAGGAAGGGAAAAAACCCAGAAAACACCTTAGAAGAGAATCACCGGAAAAGAAAGCAGATCAAACTGTAGCATCAAGATTCAAAGAATGATCTTAAAGAACCTTCCAGTGAAACGGGAAGAAAGGAGGGAGAGATCTAGAAAATATGAGATGGAGATGAAGATGGAGACGAAGATGCGATTGGAATAAGGATATAGAATAGATGGTGGAGGGGAAGTGGGTGCTGGGAAATCGAGGGAAGTGTTTATTAATTTTTATTATTAATTATTAATATTATTATTGCAATTGCCATTGAGGGTGGAAAATGAATCCAATCGGTGGGAGAGTGGTTGGTTACGCAAACAAATCTCCGTTCTTTTCTTCTTCATCGCAACCAAAATATAATTGTGAAATAAAACGAAACTATGGCCGTTCCAAATAAAATGAAAATAAAAAATATAAATATAAATAAATTACTATATATTTTTTTTTCGTTGTTTCTTCACTCACGATGCTGGAAATACGCTAAGACGCCAGACCCCACTCGCCTCTGAAATCCCGCAATTCTGCTTTCTTCGTTCTTCGTCCCATTACACGTTATGCTGGACTCTTTCCATCTACCTATTATTACTATTATTATTACTACTGTGTATTATGTGCCGTTTTGTACGCATAGTTACGCGTTTTAATTCCATACCCGCGTATAAGAAATAAAATTACGTTATTTATAAATAACAAAAAATAATAATAATATGATAATATGATATGAGTTTTTAATGTTAAATTAAACTTAAATATCTATCGAAAGTACATTTGAAAATTTAAAATAAGGATCTAAGATTAGTGAGTTGGTTTAATTGATGCTCTCATCCCATAATTTGCAAGTGAAATTTGTTATTTGTAAAGGAAAAATTTGTTAAACATCCACAATTTTTAGTGATGTGCTACACTCGTTTCTCTAATTGCAACACTCAAAACACAAATTTGCAAATAAGATTAGTTAATTCACAATGTTATTCAAATATTGATGTACTCTATTTGACAAGGTTCTTCTTTACAAATTATCAAATCTTACTGGCAAATTTTTATTTGCAACTTAAGGAATGAGAGTAACAAATTTTTACAAGAATTTATTAAATGAGCTATAATCTTTATTTTAGATTTTTAAATCTTTCAATCCTTATTCAAGTTTAATTTAATTTTTGTCTTCCAATGTCATTCACTTTTTTCTTTTCAAATCTTCGTCGACCCTTTTTTATAAGATATTTTCATTTGTGTAGCCATAATCCTAATCACTTTATTTAACGGTCATACTAGATTTAAAATCATGTAAAGAACCTTATATATATAGAAACTATAATGGTAATGGATTTCCTTACCATGCATAATCCCAATATAAGCTAATTAAGTAATTATTATCCATTATCCAAATATGATTTTATAACTACATGTGCATAAATATATCAATCAGTATTTTTTATGAAAGTCATCAATCAACATACAAACTCAATTTAGACACACATAAGATAATAAAGCATTAACAAGAAGATTTTTCATCGTACCTTAATCAAGACTTATTTCACATTTATTGAATGTTTTTTATTTTATTTTTTTTAATATCTGGTACGTCCAAAGGGAACTAAGTTGCCTCTAAATGTGAAAGATAAAATATGGATTCTTTTCAACTAAATTTATTCTATATATAAATAAATATTGGGAATCAAACTGAGGAAAACCCCACAAATTAATCATACTAATTCTAAGCTTGTATCTTAATCACGTAGTATTTTTCTTTAAAAAATAAAAATATAAAACATTATCATTTTAAAATTTTAAAATATTAAAATGTCTTTAATTATATTTAAAAATCAATGATCCAAAAAATAAAAAATAAAATTGAAATGTTAAGAGATTATAAGAGATTAAAAAAATGCACATTAAAGGCCCTAGGCCAATAAAATAATAAAATATAGCGGTGTATTCTACTATGCGTATGAGTATAAAGATTCTGTGTAGGTTTTTATAAAAAATAACAAATTAATCGAAAATGCTATTAATTATTATTATTATTATTAGCATTTATTTGTTGGAGTATATGTGAATGGGTGAGCCTTTGTTCGGCGTTATCGAGAATCATTGCTTCAGTTAGGAAATGTGGCAGAGGTGGTCGCTTCCGTGATCCCAACCTCCACATCAATCTAATTTTAATTACTTAAATATTAAATATTATACTATTTCTTTTATTTTAAATTATAAAACTATTTTGAGTACGCCATCACAAAATATAAAATAATTTAATAAAAATTTTATTAATACATTTTTTTAATATTAAATTTTTTATATATTTTTAAAATATTTTTTTATAATTAAAATATTAAATGAAATGTATTTTTAAAAGTTTATATTTTTATTTTAAAAAAATAAATAAGCTTTCTTAACATACGTAATTTTATTTTAAAATATTTTATAATTTGATATAGAGAGAGTTTTTTTTTTTTAGTTTTTGCTCTAATATCTTAATTCTTTGACCCAAATTGATTTGATTAGCAACTTACAGTACTTTTTTAAAAGATACACCTTTTATCAAAAATTTAATCAATATTATATAATCAGGACTGAACTTGACACCTTATTAATTTGGATTAAAAATTATACTATTAGATTTCAAACAAAGATTAGTTCCATTGGCTGGTATTCAATCCATCATTTACAAATAGGACTCAAAATAAGTCAAGGCTCTATTAGGTGATCTACAACTTGGCTTGGTTGGGACCCGACACCCTGGCCTAAATCTATTAGAATCGTAGCAAAGATTGGCTTAATTGTCTAGTATTAGTATTAGGTCCATGACTTACAAAATTATAAAAGCAAATTTCTAATGTGAGGACTTTTTAAACAAATAATATGAATAAGCGTTCTTTGAATTGATAGTGATAATTATAAGTAATTAATAATAGTAATTTATGATAAAAATTGATTAAGGTAACTGTAATTTTTAATAATTAAATAAAGTATATTTTGAAAACAAGAAAAATAAAACCAAAACAACTTGAAGTTTTTTCTATCGTTTTGTTTTTAAAAATAAAAAATAAAAACAGTTTTAGAAATAATTAAAACTGAAAATACTTATTCAAGCAAATTTTTAAATTTTTTTGTTTTTTTTAAAATATTTTTCAAAAATAAAAAACAAATAAGCCTTTAATTTTGTTGCTGGTTTGTTGTGTGTTTCTTTGTTTTGCTATTTGGCTTTACTTTTGTTTGTTATTTGCCTTGGGCTGTTGAACGTTTCGTTTTTGTGGTAATGAACTAATGATATCCTTTTCTCTGGCCAAAAAAAAAAAAGTTTGTTTCAGTTTCATATAATTAAGAGTATTCAATCCCTGGGTGCTAATTCTAAATTGATTAATTATTAATAATTAAGTATTAATTAATATTAATACCAATACTGGTACGAAAGCAAGAACTGGGGAAGTTGATTTTCTTAGAAGGAAACGTAAGTCTTGAATAAAAACTCTGACTAGGGCGAACTATACCGATGAGAGCAGACGGGGGATGTGGGCCCCACGGTTGTTTGGCGGGGAATTCTGGCGCGTAAGCGCGGGGTTGGAGGTGGACTATGGTACGCCTCAGCTTCTGCGGCTCCACTACTCCCATCTTGGTGCACAAACTTTTAGGTACAACTACGAGTGTACAACCCACCACGCAGACCATCTCTCTACTTATTCTAATGTTCCCACATCATTATCCGAGACAATTCATGTCCTTTATACAAATAAGTCTATAAAAACATATTATTTCAACAATTAATTATTGTATAATTTTTTATATGTTATAGTATAAGATATTATACAAATATGTATATAAAAACATTATTTCAACAACGGATTATTGTATAATTTTTTTATGAAAAAGTTTAAAATTAAATGCATTGAGTTTCGAGAGCTTAATTAAGTCAAGATATGTTTGCTGGAACATATGATGTTTTAGATGCAAATTATTGTGCTGTAATGATGAAGGTGAGAGTGTCTATTTAGGCTAGCAACCCTACAAAGGGCCAAGCCTAATATGAATATTCTTAAATCCTCCATCACTCTTTCTAATCCTTCACTAAACACTCATTATTACAAATTTTGACCTTTTGAAATTGAATATCACTTAGACAATTATAGGTCCTACAAGAATGGTACTCTCTGGTGTGATGGTGTAATTAGAGACAGTCATGTTGATTGGATTGTTAGGTTTCAACTCAAATGCCTGTTTCCTCTATTTTTGAAATTTTTAAAATTATACAAGGTTTTTAAAATAAAGAGATATCCTTTTAAAAAGACATGCCCTTATAAATTAAGAAATTTTTTATGGATGATTATGCATGGAGTTATTTTCATCAAGTTTATGTCTTTTTAAATTCTAAAAGCACATTTGAAGAATTATAAAACTAAAAGATATCATTTCATGAAAGGAAATCTATTTCAAGAAAAATCTACATATTAAAAGGATTTTTTTCATGAAATTTATTATAAATAACCATTTGTTAATATTAATTATTAAACTACGTAGTTTTATGAACTAACATGAATGTTCACAAATTAACATAAGATTATTCATGAACCAATAGTAGGTATAACTTTTAATGAGAGTTTTATTATTTAAAAAGTATCATTTCAAAACATCACTTAAATATCTATAAATACACCCTATCATCACTTATTTGCACATCAAAAGATATCTTTCTATTGACTTTTATTGCCTTTATTTTTTGAATGCATTAAAGATAAAATAAAATTATCATTTTGTCAAAAAACATTGTTGTCTTAAGTGTAAGTAGTGCAAGCCATATTCAAAGATCTTAATTGTGTCACAAAAGAAATTCATCATCAATCCAACTTGCACCTGAAGCCAAAGTGTTATTCACACATTGAATATGACATGCACAACTTTTTTTTTCATCTCTAATTCTTTTGTTCTTTTGAAAGCCATCCCTACCAACATGCTTTAGTTAATATAAGTAATATTTTTATGCCTTTGATCAACTACCTTTCTATAGGTAGGTCATGGATGATGAAAAGAGTTCGCAGGATGAATCTGAACTAATTTCCTTGTTTATTTGTTTGGATTAATGTATCATGTTATATTCAAAAAAAAATTATACTATATTTGTTTTTAAATTAAGACGCCCTCATACTTAAACTCTAACTTTGTTCCTGATGTTAATGATCTTCTACATTTCTAATGAGATCTCAAGCAAACCAGTCTTAGAAAGTGATTAACTAAAGAGAAGGGCTTCCAATTAATTTTAATTTAAAGAAAGTGATTTTGAAAAGTCCTCTTCTTGGTATTTCTT